GCGTGGAACATTGGCGATTGTTAGCCAACCTGCCTTAGGCTGTGTGAGGCACTACAACAGGCGGGAGGAAGTTCCCTCAGTCATGTGGGATCACAGAGGACAGATCAGAGCTCCCCCAGCGACACAGGCAGGGTTTCTCTTGAAGAAGGTGGGCGGGATTTCCCTTGCCACTTGTTAAGCTCTGCAGTGGGCAGGCTGGTGGAATTTCCCCATGAAGTAGGTGGGTGGGATTTTCCCCAGAAGACCATTGGGCAGGATACCCACTGGTGGATGCTGGGCGGGCATTCCCGAGCTTCGGGCTGTGCTGCAGAGAGTGGAGTTCTCCCTGCTGGCCAGAGGGCAGGTGTAAATGCTCTGGGCTAAGGGGAGTGGTCTGGAGTTAGGCAGTGGCATGTGCAAGAAAGAGGGAAGAGAAAAAGAAAAAAAATAACCCTAAGCCCGCGAAGGCTGTGGTGGGATAGAGAGAAGAGGGGGAAACAAAAATAACAATATAGCTGAGCCCCAATCCCTAACCATGGAGCTGGAGGGTTTTAATCCCTGCCCTGAGGCCATGGAAAACTGGCTATGTTGAGATAAAGCCCCTGCGGCTGCCCCAAATGGTCCCAGCTCCAGCCAAGACAGTGGTGGGACTAAGGTCAATCCCTAGCTGGCCTCCACTTTGGTAAGCCCAAACCCCCAGCTCCTCAAAACCTAGTGGATCTGTGCCTACTTATCTTTACGATGCTCCTCCTGTGACCTGGCAGTGTGGAATTTCCCTCTTAGTAACTCTCCTGGGCTGATTTCTGCAGATTCCCTTTGGTGTGTGTCACTCAGTCACCATCTTCCTGGAAGTCTCAGCAGTTTCGTCTCTTTTCAATGGCCGTGTTTGACCATTGGCTCACATTTCCTTCTCAAGTTCATGGGAGTGTTGGGTGCTGTTGGCTGGATTTGGTTGCTGGTTATTAAACACCCTCTTGTGTACATTTTTTCTTGAAACAGGGTCACTAATGGGAAAGAGGAGTCCTTCAGACATTAAAGGTGGGTTGAGTATTTTACCTGCTGTGGCCTTGCCAGGGGGCAGGGTGTCTCTTTGGGAACAGGGGTCCCGTGGCCTTAGAATCTTGACCATATCCAGAGCCATGATACCAGCCAACAGAGTGGATGACAATAAAGCCTCATCAAATAATACAAGGAAATAATTTGTGTCCACAAAATTATAAAAGGGATCATGAGAAAATTCTTAAAACCCCTAGGAAGATGGATCCCAGACCTGGGTGAGAAAGATTGGCCTGAGAGGCAGATGGAAACGATGCCTGGTCAGACTGGGCCAAGCATACCGGCTTGGTCTCTCTCCCACCGGAATGGCAGCAACCCGGAGTTTTCCCTCAATTTACTCCCTGGCCTCCTTCCTCCTCCCCTAGGATCCCTGGCAAGGGCTCTGGGCTGCGCGGGTTCCTTTGTTGGGCCGAGGTGCCCTTACTCCCCTAACCCTGTGAGGGACACGCAGGGTGGCTCTTTTCCCGAGGGGTCCCATGGTTTCCAGCAGCGAGTAGCTCACCACAGTCCAGTCCAGCTCACCAAACCACTGCTAACGATGTTGCTAGAGACACGTCTGACCACTCCCAGTCCTCAGCCCATCATCGGGGCCCTCAGTGGGGCTTGGAATCAGGAGGCGAGGGGAAGCGGGACCGTTGATGGAAACCTGGTCTACATAAAAGCGGTGGAGAAAATAAGAACGTTGGCTTTCCGTTTTAACTCCCAGATACCTCAGTTTCCCAAACTCAGAAGCCGGTTGGGGCTCACAAAGACCACCCCACTTGTATAAAATCCCCACAGCCTTGTATCGGACCCCCTCCTCACCCAAATCTGCTGCGGGAGTGCTGTCCCCATAGGTACAGCCCTTCTCCACTCCCTCGACCCCGGGTCTGCACCGCCAGCGCTTGTGTCTCCCCTTCCCTTACTGAACCTCCGCTCACCATGTCCTCCGTCCTTGTCTTCTCCAGGGAAGCCTGGATTCTGTCCAGGAGAAGGCTCCTAGTCCAGGTCTTTGGGAGTGCCGACCACTGCTCTGACCATCACAGGCCTATTGCCCCACTGGACACCTGACCAACTTGTCTGTCCCAGTGCCCCCCATCTGGTCCTATCTCTGTCCACCCCTTCACCAGAACACCCCTAACTTTGGACAAAGCCTTCTCCCTCGAGAGCCCTCTTTGTGGTCTCTTCCCGTGCCATGTCTGTCTGGGCCTTGTGTCACCCTGGTTTTTTTCTGCTGAGGAAAAGGGAATTGGGCCAGGGAGGGTCATCAGGGTACCGTCGGGAGCAGAGGCAGAGGGTGGTGAGGTGGGGAGCAGGGACAGGCAGCAGGGGCGTCCCTGTGTGTCCTCGGTCACAGCCTTCTTGGACACGGCAGGCTGGAACCAGGGCCAGTGCATCTACGGGTGGTGGAGGGGCTGCTTCTGCATGAGCCAAGATTGAGACCATCAGGGCAGTGCCCTGATATAAACCGGCTCTGGGCCTCCCATGTCTCTGGGGCTTTGAAATGCCTGTTTGCTTCCTGGATGAGGACTTTGTACTCTTGGGTGGATGTCAGGCCCCCGTCTCCTGACCTTGCCATCAGCCGTGTGTTTCAAGAGGGGCGTTGGCCAGTTGACGCTTGGAGACAAAGCTGGGATACCACTCCTCTGCCCCCTCCCCCTCCCCCACCCCCTCCCAGACTCCCAGTGATCATTGCTGCTGCTAGAGAAGCTTCCTGTCGGTGTCTCCCCTCAGAGAGTGATTTTGTCCTGGAGGGGATGGGTGGCCAGGCAGGAGTGAGAAGGAATTCAGGGAGCAGGGGGTGCTTAGGGCCCCAGGACTCAGCTGGGAGGTGCTGGTGGTGGGTGTACATGGGAGGCAATCAGCTTTCACTCACCCACCACTCAGGTTGCAGCGGGACAGGTGAGGTAGGGGTGACTTGCCAGGGGACGATGTGCAGGGGCAGGAGAGAGGCTTGGGTTCGGAGAACAGCACCCATCCACGACTTAGGTTCCTGTCTCTGGGAGCTCAGCGCTGCCTTACGGGGCCCTCTCTGGGTCCGGGCACCATCCCGCAGGCCAGCGGCTGGGGGCGGGGTTGGTGGTGGCTGCAGCCTAGCTGCCCCCAGAATGAGATGCAAGCACCTCAGTCAGGGCCCCCTCTGCTGGCGGAAGCAGTTTGCTCTCTGATGGGTAGCCAGCGTCCCCCTCTCCCACACCGGGGTGGGTGGGCGTGGACCTGGAAGGTCCTCTGAGGGTCTGGCTGCCCGCGGGGAGCCCTAGGCCAGCCCGTGTACCTTAGTAGCTGATACGCGGTTGTCCCCGGAGGCTTCCTAGATGCAGGGAGCCAGGCTCCTTCCCAAACCGAGGCTTATCAGTGGGACACTTATTGCTGTGATACTTTCCTTGCGGCTTTTGTCACGAGTGCACCGTGACGGCTTGATCCTTGGCACCCATGCACGCACGCACGTGACGCTGCGGGGGATGTGTGCGGGCTGGGGTGCCTCCGCCCCCCTGGTCTGAAAAGAGCCGGTCCAGAAAACCATCCCAGTTGGAAGAGCCAGGCTAGGGCGGGCCAGCTTGCTGGAGCCCTCTTTCACACCATCCCCACAGCACCCACTGCTCGAACGAGGCCCCAGGGTCCTGGCAGCGTGCTGCTGGCTGGGCTTCTGAGAGGACTCGCAAGGTGCAGCTGCATTTCTGCACCACTCGTGCCAGGCTTCGGGCTCACCTCTCTGCGTATCTCAGATTCACAGTGGCTCGGTGGCGGTGCTGTGTGGCAGGGTTGCCCGGGGGCTTTTGGAGGTTTTTAGGTGGTCTCCACTCTGCCCCAGAGCCCCCAAGGCTCTAGCTTCTCCTGCCTCTGCGTGGTGGGTGGAGTCAGTGGTTACGTGCTGGGCTGGTGATCACAGCCCTCGAAGGCCCCAGGATGGAGTTCTGCCTTGTACACAGGGTCTCTGACCAGCTGGCAACTGGTTTACGGGGTTTTTTGTCCCAAGTGGCAGTGGGGATGATGTCCAGTGTGCGAAGGAGCTAGAAGACCGTGCTGTGCTCCCCAAGAAGCGCAGCCCTGTGAGTGAATGATCCCACCTCCTGTTTGCTGTTGGGAATGCTCTGGTCAGAACCCCAAACGTCCCTGTCTCTGAGTCTTGCTATATCCTCTCTAAGAGGTCTGCCTATGGCTCTTAGGGTGTATGCTACCAGCCCACCTTCGGCTCCAGAGAGCAGGATGGGCCCTGGTTTCTCCATGACAACCCCACCCCCATCCCTCACCCCATCCCCCGGCTGTAGAGCAGGTCACTGGGGCCCCTGGAAGGCTGTTCCCCACACAGTCTGCTCAGATGCATAAGGCCTCCCCTCTGATGACTGCTCCCAGGTGTGGGGCACCCAGGTTTGCCCTGAGCCCCCTGGGTTCTTGGGACTAGATTCACGTAGCTGGCGCTCATGCTAGGATTTGCGGCATTTTCACGTACAATCTCCACTTTAAAAGGCATTTCCCGGACCCCCTCTGTCTCTGAGGACTGCCTGGTTGACTGAGGACACGGTACTTTCCCGGGGCTGCCTGGCACCCAGAGGCCTCTCCCCAAGTTGGCGCCGGAGCTGGCGTTTCTTTCTGTGCTAGTGAATGGAAACAGTGTTGTTTCCTAGCGGACCTTCTATGGCTCTGCTTTGTCAAGATTATCATGACGCCCACCCTCGGGGACCCTATGCATCGTCAAATCCCACCTCTCTTCCTACAGATAAGAACCCTCAGACCCAGGGAGGAGACAGTGTACTCTAGTGTCCACTACCAGCTAGTGGCAAGGGTGGGGTTAGAACCCACGCCCCAGGGTCCTTTGCTCTGTACCATCTATTGCTGTGTGGAATATGTGGCTATAGTTCCTGGAGGCCCGGGTATTGGAGAAGCCAGTTAGCTGGTGCCGACGCTGGCAGGGAGGCAATACAGTCAAGAAATGCTGGTGGGCCCTCTTTTCTCATATTTCCATTGGGGGGGTGGGCAGACAGAGGTGCTCTGAGATTGCAAAAGGCCAGGAGAGGCTTGAGTTGAGGTTTTGGATGCAGCTTGGAAAACAAGGAGGGGGACGGGGAGCCAGTCCCTCTGGCTCAGGTCACCCCCAAGGTGACCCTGGTCTATAAAGGCGGGTGGAGGCCAGGGCGAAGAGGCAGTTAACCAACTCTTGCATATGCCTTTGTAAGTTGAGAAAGAAAATGGCAAAGGAGACCTCTTGAGTTCTCTCCCTACTTCTTGAACAGAGATGGTTGGTGGTCTTTAGGGAAGAGGCAAGACACGGGGCCTCTTTCCCTTTCTCTCCCAAACTCTTTTAAGGTGCCAACACAAACACTACCTTCTTCATTTCTAAGCCACTGGAGCCAGGTCTGCGGAGGGGGTGGGTGTGGGTGTGCAGGAGTTCAGGTCGATGGAAGGTTACAGGTGGCCAGTCAGGACCAAGACTGATCAGGCAGACGCAGGACCAATTCCACAGCTCCTTCCTTCAAGGCGAGGGCGGGTCAGCAAATGCCCAGTCTGTCTCTGTAGCCCGGCTGGGTTGCTGGCTGGGGCATGGCCTGCCAAGCTCAGATACATTTTGTCACTAACCCCTTGCTCACCCCAACCCCACGGCTCCCTCCTTTCCACTGGGCCAGGTGCTCAGTGGGGCTGTTCACAGGTGCCCCTTTGAGAGGAAGAAGCCAACCTTCACTCACAAGGGCTAAGGGCAGTGGAGCCCTGCGAAGGGCAGAAGGGTGGTTGGGCAGTGGCTTTACCCTGTGCCCCACCAGCTGAGCGTGGTGGTGGTGTATGGCTGGAAGCCCGGCATCCAGTTGCCATTGTCTTTGATTTTGTGACATCTCTTGTGCTCAGAAAGCCAGTGTCCCCTTCCTGCTCCCTAGCATGTGTGCTGACTCCCTTGTGTGGACGATAGTTACCCTTGGACACTCCAGCCCGGGGGGTGCAGATGTTCCAGTGTGAAGAGAGTCCTCTATGTCCTAGAATCTCAGACGCGTCGCTTGGAAACGATGATTCGTATCATGATGATTTTTCTTTCTTTCCTCCTAGCCAGGAGGTGATTTGTAGACCCTGATTGCCTATGTCATGTAAATAGTGTACATTTAATTTATTGCTATGGTAGCACATTGTATTTGTTAATGTATAAAACAAATTCTAAAATGTTGACAAATGTATATTTTGTTGCTTAAATGTGTCTTTGCAGAAATTGACAATAAATAACATATTTTGTGTCCATTTGTGTTCAGACTTCTTTGGATTGGGGCCCCAGGCTGAGGGAGTTGTCCCCCACCCCCCCAAGCAATTCCCGGTGGGGCAAAAGAGCTCTTACACATGCATGAGTCAGGCAAGGGCTGAGGGAGAGCCCTGCATTCCCACACAGCTGAGAAGCTGTTCTGATGGAAGAACTGTATTCCACGTCATTCCTGATCCTGAATTTGTAATCTGTTACTTCCCTAACAAATCCCACCGTTGAGAGGATGGTTTGTGAGTTCTTTGTAGACATTGCAAGGAACGACCAAACCCATCAGAGAAGCTGAGAGGAGCGTGAGAGGGATGGCTGGTGTCAGAACTGGTCAAAAGAAGGTGTACTTGACGTCTACCTCCTAGGAATCAGCTTTGGGCTAATGTTGGCCTTGTTTCTTTTTCCACCCCGTGAAGTTAGACTAAGCAAGATGCTGCCACAATGTCAATATTATATATTATGTTTATATGGTTTTGTTTCCCCATAAGAAATTAGAAGACCAAAAATAGACCTTTAAGTATCTACCAGGGATTAGTTGTGTGATTTGGGCCAGTCAGTTCATGTCCTTGGATTTTCAATTTCTTTGATGTAGAGTCAGAAAAAGTATCCACCCTTGAACTTCTACAGCTACCACATTGCTCACCGTGATTGAATTGATGAGTCCTCATGGTGAATCTATAGCTACATCCTCACTGAACTATGCCAGGACAGTCACCTTACTGCTTTTCATACTCTTGTCCTTGACTTCTCAGTCCTGCCCTCTTGCTGACTCTAGCTACCCTTCAGTGGTAGACAGTTTTCTTCTGGACACCTCAAGAGAGCTCTGTGGTCACTGATAGACTACTTGTAAAACAAAACCCCAACTCACTGCCATCGAGTCGATGCTGACTCATAACGATCCTATAGCAACCAGACTCACTGCCATGAGCTGATACCGACTCATGAGCCCCTACAGGACAGGGTAGAGCTGCCTCTGCAGTTTCTGAGACTCTAACTCTTTCTCCTAGGGAGTGGCTGGTGAGTTCGAACTGCTGGCCTTACGGTTAGCAGCCTGTGTTAGTCTGGGTACTTTAGAGGAACACATCCACAGAAACTCATGTGTAAGAGAATTTTATATAAAGGTTAACTGTGCATCAAGAAAACATCCCAACCCAGTGCTTTCCAAGCCCACAAGTCCAACATTAACCCATTAACTCGTATGTCCAACACCAATCCACAAAATCCTCCTCCATCTCACAAAACAGACACAACGATGCCGACTGTAGGAGGAAAGCCAAGTCAGTGAATGTGTAAGCATCTCAGCGCTGGCACGCTGAGCTGGCAGGGGTCTCCACACGGCTGCTCCAGCACCCAGGGCTGCATCGGGGTAGGTCCATGTGGCTTCTCCTTGGGGATGTCTTGCAGGAAGTCAGCCTTGCAAGCTGAAGCAGGGAATTGGCTAAAACAGCTGCACCCTCGTCCGACCATCAGAAAGCAAGAGACCCAAGAACTCGAAAGGCAAGGATCACCGAGCCATTTATCCCTCCGCCCTTCAATTAACCCCACATGTGTTTATCGGCCAGGTTGGCACAACAAAGGAACGACCTCACAGCCCAATGTGAACATGACCCCACCAGCTAAAGGAGGAGGTAAACTGGGAAGTCCCTTCTTCACAATGCCTTTGCTCATTTTAATGGACAGAGACAAATAATACTGAATCCATCCCCCTGGCAATCCTTTGTAACACATCCTCATTTCCCTTCAGGCTCCTGAAGGCTGGGGGCAGACTAGGTTTTTTTTAAAAAGTGTGTGTTCAGGGAAGCAAGACAGAAAAAAACAAACCCACTTAACTTTTTAGTACATAGCTCTGCTGGCCAGACAGTGAAATGGCAAATGGCTTCCTAAGTAGTTCTGTTTCCCTTGTTTCCTCTCCTCTCTCTTCCCAGCATCCCTGGGGCCATCAGAGCTAATGGGTGTTTCTGGCTCTGGGCTCCCAGCAAGGCAGGATAGGCAAGTCCAAGTCCCCTCGGCCCTTCCTCCTCCTCGGGAAGCCCACACCACCTCGGGCTAGCTCCAGAAAGCACCTGAGTAGTGCAAATGGTTAAAGGATGCGCTCAGATACTGACGTCTGGAAAAGTCATTAAGGAGCGCACAGTTCTACTCTGATACACGGGCGGCCAGGCGTCAGACTCCACCTGGTGGCAGTCAAAGGGACCTGGCTGCTATGGCTCAAACAGCTGCCCTTTCAACATTTGCTGTGCACTGGCTGTGGGACCTGTGGCATAGTGGTTATGCGCTGAGCTGCTAATCATAAGGTCAGCGGTTTGAACCCCCTAGTTGGTTCCCCTGTAGAAAGATGAGGCAGGGTGTGAAGTCCCAGAAATCAAAGGGGTGGTGGTGGTGGTGGTGGTGTTCTACTCTGTCCCATAAGATCCCTCAGAGCTGGTATTGATTTTATTTGCTCCATTTGGGTGATGGGTGATGGGCACCTGTTACGAGAATCAGGGTTAGATTCCAGAGAGAGATTGTTAGGACACCCTAGGAAGGTGTCTCTACTGACCCATTGAGTCTCTCCAGTGCTCCAAGCCCCGCAAACCCCGAGTCTTCAGCTGCTTGCTCAGTGCGCAGGGAGCCCTGGCAGCTGCTGCCTGCACATGTCTTCTCAACACCTTGGACCCGCTGGGCATCTCTGATGTGAGGGTGTTGCCTCCCTTGCTGCTCCTAAGACAAGAGCCACGGCGGCGCCCCCCAAGAGCCACGGCGGCGCCCCCCTCTGGCGGCTGCCTCCTCCTCTCTCTGCCCTCACCAAGCCCAGGGCTGTGGAAGCTGGCACCCCTGAGGCTGCCCAGAGGGGCTGCATTTCATCACCTGAAGTCCCAGATGTGAACATCCTCTTCTTCCCAGCCCCCTTCATCCTGAGATGTGGTTCCAGAAACTCTTGTCTGGAGATGCGCTTCCGTGGCTGAGGAATGAGCTCTCCTAAAGGGTGAGCAGGGAAGCTTTGGCTCAGGAGCTGTGCTGTAAGAATTCGGGGCTAAAACCCCTCTCTCTATCAGGCTCCTTCCGAGTCTCTAAGTGGAGCCGTCATACTTTCAGGTCAGAAGGAGCTCGGATGGGTCTGAACTTCTGTGAAGACTCAGAACAGGCTCCCTCAGCACAGCGCAGCTTTCCGCAAAGCGCTTTAGAATTGGAGCCCGCGTCCAAAGGCAAGCGTTCTGTCATCGAACCCCCAGTGTTCCCCCTTGTTGCAGTTTAGGGAAGCCTTATTATGTTGGCTTGAGCAGAACTGTGAAAAAAATAATCCACCAACCCTGACTTAAAAGGGTTTTCGTAGACCAAACCATGGGCTGGTTATTGACGGGAGAACTCATCAGAAAGTGGGAGCAGCTGCCTCTCACTGTCCTGGCTGAGGGTCCCCTCCCATGAGAGCAGTATCATTGTACTGGTGTAGAACAGCAGTTCTCAACCAGTGGGTGGCGACCCCTTTGGGGGTCAAATGACCTTTTCACAGGGGTTGCCTAAGACCATCGGAAAACACATAAATATTACACACTATATAATTACATATGTGATTAATCACTATGGTTTAATTATGTTTAATAATGTTTAATTTGTAACAATGAAAATACATCCTGCATATCAGATATTTACATTACAATTCATAGTGGCAAAATTAGTTATGAAGTAGCAACAAAAATAATTTTCTGGTTGGGGGTCACCACAACATGAGGAACTGTATGAAAGGGTCTCAGCATTAGGAAGGTTGAGAACCACTGGTGTAGAAGATCCCGCTGCCCAGGTCTGGCAGGTAAGAAGACCAGGTGACAGATATAGTATAGATCCAGGGCAGGGAACCATCTTTCTGCATCCTCGGGTGGGCAGAGGGTAGAGATGCCCCAGGTCTTGACCAGGATTCAGGGGGATAAGGCCATCACCCTTCAAATGGCAGAAGGATGGCCTTCTGCCCTGAGGACCAGGGGTGGGGGGAGGATGTCAGTCACAGAGGGAAAGCTTGGTGGAAGCTCTCAGTTCCTGTTCTGTGTGCTGCTGTTTGGAAACCCCAGGCAAGGGAAGGGTCAGGGTCAATGCAGAGTGTGAGTCAGAGTGGGTGGACCCCTCTCCCAATGATCTCCACCTGGTGCAGAAGATCCCCTAGAACCCTCTTTATTTTAAGTTGGATGGTTTGACGGGCATGTAATTCACACATCCTACGATTCCTAGCTCCATCATCTTACGAAGAGTTGTACAATCACCACCATAGTCCAACTCAGAACACTTTCTTCTTTCTCGTCCCAGAGCCCTCTTTAGCCACGCATTGGGTCACATTCTGGGTGGTACCTCTCTCCTGTCACAGCTGTCTTCGTTGGCTCAAGGGGCCATGGAGGCAGGGAGGGGGAGGATTTTCTGTAGTGGTCCCCTGGGATGGGGGTGGGGGTGGCGGCACGCCTTGGGTAGGCCTCCTTGCCTCTGTTAGCTGCTGCAGTGGTCAGGGAAGAAGACTCCTTGAACTTCTGAAGTGGTACCCAGAGAGCTCTGTGCACCTGTGTACAATGAGTGAGGGTGGGAAGATGGTTGAACTCCAAGCTAGGGAGATGTGGGAGGGAGGGGCAGTGACCTTGGGAAGGGCGCTTTTGCTCTCTCTCTCTTTTTTTTTTCTAGGCAGGGAGGACAGCTGTTGGTAGCATCAGATTTTGGAGCGGCCTTCTAGAAAGCACCACACCTCCCTCCCCCCTAGCTTTAGGGCAGGCCTCTCTCCTCTGAACAAGGCACTACTTGCAACCAGAGAGGTCTGCTCTAGCCGTTCAGCTCCAAACAAACGAACATACGAAGGAAGGTACCCTCCAGTGACCCCATGCATGTCCAGTCACCAGCTCGGTTTTCTCCAGGTGCCTCTGGGTGGACTCGCATCGCCAGCCGTGTGCTTATAGAACAGAGGGCGTTGAGCGTTTGGAGCCACCCGAGGACCCATTTCGTTTTCTGCTGTGTGTCCATCACCCTGAGAGAATGTTAACTG